TTTTAGGTGGTATTGTTCGAGTATAGACAACATGTGACCAAAAATAGACATGGGGTAGAATGACCTTGTCTACATGAAATCCGATGCTCCATTCGAAAGGGTAGGGAAAATTGAGAAAGCGTCGCGCCCATTGTCGCGCGCGACGAAGCGGCAGTTTACGATTCTCTTGCCAGTCTCTCCGTCAGCACCCTGTCCTGTAAATTCTTGTCATAACCCTGTGAGCTCCTGTCAGACTTGTCAAAATCACCGGTCAAGATTTGGAAAAATGTTTGGACGTCCCACTGACTAGTACTATTTCGCCGCGCTTGACAGGCGTTTACAGGGTACCTGATAGGTATCGACGGGACCTGCAGGGTAAAACACGATCGTGAAAAGAGAAGAGAAAAAACAACGACAAACGCGCCCTCGAAAAAGCTTGCAGGTATGGCCTACCCCAAGGTTACTGGCTCCGAACACCAGTACAGAAACTCCAGATAATATACAGGGCAAGTTTTCGAAAAGTTTTGATAACCATTTTAAGCTGCATTATGACATAAATTTCGTTTTCACGCTATATCTCTAACTTTTTTTAATGTTAGACGGCATTTGGTGGTAGCAGATGTGAACGATTCTGGGCGATGAGATGGGCATTTTTGCCTGAGCTTAAGGGGTAAGGAGTACTGGGAAGGATAAACCAATTTCCTTCGTGCAAAAAGTTCCCCTGCTCGAGATTATGGTGGTTTCTCGATGCCGTCCCCAGTCCTTTGTACCTATCTTTTCTTATTCTACTTACTACTTCGTAGCCTTACAGCGGCTCACAGTTTTTTTGCGATTTGATCCTTCACAGCGATAGGAAACCGAAATGCCCCATCCCATAGTGGACCATCGTCTTTGTTTTCTGTCCCTACCATTTTGAACTACTTAATAAGATGTCCCTAATGCGCTGCGGCGAGATATTTGTCACTTGGAATTGAGGTTGCCCAGTAACCTGTTTTTGTGCAAAGACATTGACATCGCGCGAAATTGTCGCTGTGATGAATTGATTCGTTGTTTTAAACAAACGAGCTCATGGTCAGAACAAAAGAGAGTAGGTTCAAAATAGTGTGAATTAAATCTCATTGTTTTTGAAGGAGAGCTTCAATTTTTTTTCATCAGCGAGTACACAAAACTGGTTCAAGAACTTTTTTAATCGTTCAAAAAGCCGGAATAGTTATCAGTTCAATTTTGTACTGTGATTGCTATAAGTGCGCTCATACTTTGCGTCAGCGTTTTGAGCGACTCAGAAGGTTCACCTATCGATGCATCATTTTGAGCTCGTTTTGAGCGTTGGATCGATAGCTGTACTTCCCTGATCGCTCAAAAAGCGTATGAACGCACTAATACCTAGCGGGAGGCGGTGCTATTGGTGCAATCGTCTTACCGTTTAAGTGCTAGGAGAATTAAATGGTGCGTGCCGGACAAGTTGAATAACTCGTCGATCAATTCCCGAGATTGTAATAATAGATTTTCCTTCTGATACATGAAGCTGTGAGTTGCTAACTTGGTGATCATGTTTCCGGCCAGACTATATTTCATGGGTAAATGATATTCAAGATTTTCGGACGAGTTGATCTCCACAATGTTAGATTATCTCTTGTGAAAGGGGCATAGTGAATGAACATAATAGTGGAGACGGACGCTAAATCGGATACTTTAGAATTGCCAAGTTGTTGTAACGGCCGATGAGGCAATCAATATGGTATGATAGAGAGTGGATACAAACATAGGTAGGTCTTGTCTGAGATGGAGTTTGCAGCCGCACCCAAACTAATCCCGCCTGACAGCCCCTCCGTCCACAGCGAACTAGACTGTATACACATACATAGAGAACATTTGCTAGACCATGTCATCGTAGCAGAAAGCGCGAAAGAGAATACTTCTGAGGGACTTTGTGGGCTTTTCGTGTAACGCAGTCACCACTTTTTTCCACCTATTTCAAGATCCAAAAAACAATACTATCACTTACTGGTTACAATTTTATTAACTAACTGTTGATTGTAGTCGATATTCGATGAAACATGAGAAGGTGAGCTCTGCAAGGCGGTCCAGAGTCGGTAAATCTGTCGTGAACATTCAATGACTTCGGTCTTTTTGTCTCAAAACACGTTCGGAAATTATGCTGATCCGAATGCTGAATGCCGTAACGAGCTTTAAAATATGATAGGAAGGCTTTCTAGGAGATTTGCGAGACTTTGGGGCTCAGAACTGCTTGATTCAGGGTGGGATTCAAAAATGATCATAATGTAGTAGACAACGGGATCAGGCAGTTGTGTCATCCAAGAACTCGTGTAATTGGCGAAAATTGGATTGCTCTTTATCTTTTGGCCGAAAGTCTTAGAACACTGAGCGGCCAGTTTTTATTGGACTGTCCTTCAATTTCATTTTTCAGTTGCTCGTTCCAGTCTTAGTGGTACCTTTGTGTTTGATAGAAACCTTTTCATGGTACCATTCTGTTTGATAGAAACCTTTTTCGCCTGTTTCAGCAATTGTGACTGGTGGTATGTACGTCATCAGCGCACGGGAAATACGGGATATGTACCGAGAAATTTCGTAGCTAAACAACAAACGATAGAGAGTGAAGAGTGAGTTCATTAATTACTCCATCTTCATAGGTTTTTAATTGCAGTAGTAACACGTTGTTACTTCTGGCTGTTTCGTTGATCTAGCATACATTTTCAGGTGGTACGCTGGGAAGATTCCACGAAATCGTGCTGAACGACTCGTTTTAGCCAATAATTTGCCAAAAGGAACGTTTTTGATTCGTGAACGTGAAGCGGATGGACGAGAATTTGCTTTAACAATTAGGGACTCAGATGATCTTCGAGGAGGTATAGGTGTACCCGTGATTTTTATGGTGTTTCCGAATTTTTCACCTTCTTTTCAGGTTCGGTGAAGCACTACAAGATTAAACGGCTAGATCATGATCAAGGTTTTTTCATCACCACCCGAAGGACGTTTCGTACTTTACAGGAGCTTGTTGCTTATTACTCGGGTACGCTTGCTTTCATTCATTAGGTTATAAAGATTTTGACTTTTTTCACCAAGCAGATTCTTCTGCAGAGATGGCGGACGGTTTATGCTGCCAACTAACATTCCCCGCTCCTCGAATCGCCCCAACTCGTCCGGATCTCAGCCATGATACTCAACAGAACTGGGAGATTCCGAGGAATCAGCTTCAGTTGAAAAGGAAACTTGGCGATGGTAATTTCGGCGAGGTTGGTTCCGTTTAATTTTTTTCTATATTTTGTAACCGATATTTGGTTTCACGATATTTTCTCTTCGATTCTTCGTCTCTTTTCGAGCTTCACTTTCGACAGATGTCCTTGTGACGCTGTTGATCTTCATCTTTTCTTTCTGTGAAGCTTCCTGAGTTACTATACGTTTGTGGTAATGTCAGTTTGCTTTATAGGTGTGGTACGGTAAATGGCGAGGGATTGTGGAAGTGGCAATAAAAACCATGAAGCCTGGGACAATGTCACCTGAAGCATTTTTGGGGTACGTTGGCCACTATTACGTTTCATGATCGCTTCTCCTTTTTTGTTCAAATATCTATTCTATTTTAAATTTTACTGGTGCGGAGGGATTTGTATATTAAACAGATTTGCTGGGCGCTATAACTATTACAGTCCGTCTGAAGGTGGTGTATAAGGAATAGTAAGTAATAAGGTAACATGAACCTTCAATACCCACATGTTTGCGCCACATGCAGTTGGTAATCTCCCTGACCCTTAATTTTCGAATTCTCCAATTCCTATCAATTTTTGGGGCTCGCCTCTTGAGCTGTGAATAAGAGGTATTAGGAATGATTCTCGCAGCCAAGTGAATAAGGGTTGTATGGGAGATGGGAATGGAGAATAAATTTATCATTTCGGGGCATGCCCCGCCGTTGGGGAAAAACTGCAAAGTACCACCGCCCTCGAAATTTCCTCCTCTGGTAGGTCCCCTTTTCTAGTGTACTCCCCCGCCCCCTTTCCGCGTTTCCCCATCCTGCTAGCACCTCCAAAAGCTCCTCAACTCCTACATTTCCAGTTCTTTTCCTTTCCAAATTCTCTAGCCTCTTCCAGTTTGTCCAAAAAACGTCGATGAGCGGTGAGTAGAGGATATAGCGCACGTGACCGGGCAAAATCCAGAGTCGTGCAAGCGTGGCAAGCGAGTGGCAGGGTGCAAGCGAATGGCCCTCAACAACAAGTCAATCATAATAAATGCTATGAGAGAAACGTTTGTAGATCAATCCTAATGGTGGTTGGTGTTATTCTCCATCGTTGGTACTAGGTGACATCACCTGAAAAATGTACTACCGCACACGACTCCCAGCGCGTTTTGCTTCACCTTCACCTTTTTGGCTGCTCTATCGGTCGAGTCGGGAATGAGGCACCGTCACTGATGCTGGATGAGGCACCCTTGAAAATCATCTGTAATAGGAGATCAGGAAACAGGACGGACAATGTTTATTATACCTGAAACCCTATCTCTTACTGTTC